AACAAGAAAGTGGAATGTTAGCCTTTCTATTTCCTCATCTTAGTCTCTTATATCTAATATTTCCTTTTTATAACTCCAATGGAAGGATGGAAATTCTTATCTAAAAAATGTAGAAGCAGCAGAAAAAATAATGAAAACAAACATCAACTTGGGGAGAGAAGGTACCCTACCCAGACCAACCACCGAAGAGATTGTGCTCCATTGGCAAACTCAGCTGTATCAAGTTCCTCCCATGAATCCCCTTCTATATCGTCCAGCCTCGGCTTAAATACGTCCAAGCATCTTCGTGTCGTATCGTCGCTCCTTGAACACCCTCTGCAACATTTTTGTTCACATCCTGTTATGAGGTTACTACTAGTCAAAATACAATATACAGAGCCAAAACAATAGCATGACGCAACAAATGTATCAAATTAACACGATCAGGTGTCATCGTTATGAAAATAGAAACTTAGTTTTGGCAAGTCAAAATCGACAAAGGCATCAATCGCCAAGATGAGTTTGGAAAACTCATTCTTTGCTCAAATTTTGGCACATGAGATTCCTTGAAGGATAAGTGCAAGTGATTGCAACTTCTTGGCAGTAAACTACTTACAAGTTACATATTCTCACAACTATCATATAGAATGAATGTAAAATATCCCCTAATATGTATTTCAAAAGTGTATCAATGGAGGGAAGTAGGCGAGTACCCGCAACGCAGAGTCTCCAAGGAGCAACAATGCTGGACGAGTTCAGAAATGCCAGCAGCTGTGATCTTGTTGCATCGGCTGCATTAAAACTCTTCTTAATCAAAAGATACTCAAAACAGAACAAAGGCTGTAATTGCAACTACAAGAGAGAGCTTGCTAGATCATAACATAGTGAGAAAGTAAAAAAAAAAACTTCAATAATGCTATTGAACAACATAAGTCAAAATAACAATAGAAACTCATTCATCAATGGAACTTGTGTCCTGCACACCTTATATCCACAGCTCTGAGAAATTTGCATTTCTGGGCAACTTTTGCCAACCCAAAATCAGAAACTTCTGAACCAGAGACATCGAGGGTTTCCCATGAACAATCCGCCAGGGAGATTACGACATCGTCGTCCAGTAATTTCCTTCTTCGGGCAACTGCTGCTAGTGCTTGCTGTTATTCCAGAAAACAGAAAATTGAGAACATACATAACACGATAAGCTTTTCAGTCAATAGTCTATGTTGCAGTGTCCCAAAAGCCTTACAAGAGAAAATGGAAGTGCTCCATCATACAAAAGCTCTTGATAATGATAATACTTATTCTTGTTAAATCATAACTTTTTAAAACAAGAAATTGAACTTTTCATCGTGACAAATGAAAACAAAAGAGCGTTAGGGTCAATTTCGTCCCTATTGTACATTTAAAAATCTCAATTCCATCCCAGTAGTTTAATTTATACATCCCAATAGTCCGGTCGTTTAACGCCCAACTCATTCATTAGCAACATAGACTATTGAGATTAATAAATTAAAGTAGAGACACGAAATGGAACAAATATGAAACTAATATCAACATGGAAATGTATAAATGAAAGATATAATTTAACCATACTTGGTCTTCATAAAATATGAGCTAATTGATCACAGGGTTCATCCAATTTTCCAGCAGAACGCAAATAAGGCATGTTTATGAGCTAAAATCTTCTACGCCATGCCACAATCCAATTACTTTCAAGAATGCAAGACGAAAACGACCAAATCAACAAAACAGGCTCAATTAATTCGATTCAGGTGATTAATTAGCCATATTCCAACATAAAGAACAAATTCTAAACCAAAACAACCTTCACATCTGACGGAAAGTTGGCACTAATCTCATCCAAATCAGGAATTATATCTTCCAAATTCTTGCCAATAACTCCAACGCATAAACTGACTAAACTTGGAGTTTTCTTCCTCTCAAAGGGTAATCCTGTAACCAAAAACAAACAAGAACCTCAAATTTCTTCAAACCTTCAGAACCAATCAATTCCAGTCAAAACTAAGAAAAAGCAATGAGTTTGGATTGGAAAAAAGAAAACCCAATAATTTCCTCAAGTTGCAATTTGACGCTCAACTTCAACAAAACGAGAAAGAGAAATAGGGATTTACCGGAGGATAAAGAAGTATGCTTCAAACTGGATTTCTGATTCGAATCGAGAAATGGAGATTTAGCGAAGGGATCAGAAGTAGTAGGCTTGGAAATGAATTTCTGATTCAAATCTAAGTTCCCCAAAGTTTTCGAAATGATCTTCGCTTCTTCGACTGTTTCCATCAAATTTGAGAGAGAGAGAGCGCTTCAATTTTCTGGGAGAGACGATCAAATATTGGAGAAATAGAAAGAAAAGATAAAAAAAAAACATTGCACGGAGCAATCAGAAAAAATAGGCACCAAATAAATTTATAGCAAATTATTATTTTGGTTCCCAAATAATTATAATTTTTTTATTTGTTTATGAAATTTAAAATGTCAAACATTTCAAATATTAAAATATGTATTAAATTTCCATTGAAATAGAACAAATAAAAGGGGTGAATATATTTTTATATTTTTTTAGAAATATTCATAATTTTTTATCGATATTTCAATCAACATCTATATTTAAACAATAGATTTTTTACTTGAAAGCGTACTTTAATCGGTAAGTATTTAGGTTGGCATTTACATTCAACATTTATAAATTGTCAAAACAACATATATCCCTAATTAAGTTCTCTCCAAAAAAAAAATAATTAGAAATTAAAACCTTAAAAACTACATTTGAAATAAAAAAAAAGCCAAGAAATAAATAAGGGTATTTGGAAAATACAGTTTAATATTATTGCTTTGCTTTTTGCGCGCTGCAAAGTGCAAAGGTTCAATTTCGAAGTTTTTCTCTGGCCGGCCGGCGAGCTGTCCATTTGCAAATTGCGAGGAGATTTCGAACACAATTTGGCTCATCGGAGCACTGAGGTTTGGTCAGAAAGCTTCAATTCTCTCATCTTCAATGGTGAAAAGCTTACAGGGCGGAGGGCAAAACCTTCCGGCGGACGTCACGCAGGTTATTGATCAGTTGGAGCGCCACTGCTTGGCTCCTGATGGATCCCTCGTCTCCAAGCCCTCCCACTACGATCTACAACTCGTATTCATTCTTCTCCTCTCGTTTTGTTCTCCCCTTCGATTTTTGTGTTTTAATGATTGATGAGGAAATGTGGGTCGAATCGAGCGTTGTAATTTGATCTCTGTTTGAAATCTATCAAGAAATTGACCTAATATTGCGTCGACTCATTGCTTCAGTTTATATATGTATATATGTACTGAATACTGAAGCTGAATTTTACTAATTATGAATTTTGCAGGCGAGGGAAGAAATGTCGAGGGAAAGATTGCGTTATTTGGAAGCTATGGTGGGTGTTCCACCCCTTTTTTTTTTGATTATTTAGTTCTGGGTTGTGTGAGACACCACAATTGATTGAGTTGGTTGCATACTTGCATCCGTGGGCGATTATTTTTCTGTTTTCCCCGTGGGAGGAGTGTAATTGTTGTTGCGTGTTTCATGTAGGCAGTCTATTGTGAAGCAATTGCAATGGTGGAAGAGTACCAACAGGCTGTTTCAATGGCGAACCTTGGAGGATTTCGAGATGTTCAGGCTCTTTATCCTCAACTAGGCTTGAAGAATTCGCCTCAGGTTTGTGATAGGAACCGTTGTAAATTTACATTGTAAAAATGAAAATAAGAAGAATGATAGTTGATAGCCTTTTTGAAAGGGCACAATCAACTTCAAACTCTGCCTACCTCTCAAATCTCCTGACCTATATAACATTCAAACTCAGAGTGAACGAACTTATCTTCTAACAAAATCACCCAATCTCTAGAAAACTAATTAACCTATATAGATAACCTTGATTTCGAACAGTTTTATTGTCTGCTCCGCTCCTGCAATTTGTTGAAAAATTACTTTGCAATATCACCTTTCTTATTTTAGTTGGAAGGATTATGTTCAACTTGTTTGTTTGGAAGTTCAAACTGAGTGGATCTCATCTACAAATGTTTGTTGGGATAATGTTATGATAGAATGAAGGATGGAAATATGTATTGAAAAGTGACGTTACTGGAAATACCATAGGTTTGCCCTCGGTTATACATGTTGTGAACTTCTAAGTTTTTTTTTTTTTTATCTTTATCATTGAAATTTTATCAGATTATATCTGAATGGGCCTTATTATTATGTTGCAGACGCTTTCAGTTTTTTCCTATTAGAAAAAAAGGCCCTCAGTTGTTTTTGTGTGTTAGATTTGCTGAATATTGGTAGTCTGAACTCCTTCCTGAAATTCAGGGCCTTAGGGACTATGGTTTGGAATCAGATTTCTTTTTAGGATTGTATGTAACTAGTTATTCTAAGAAGCTTATAATTATTGGAAGTATTGCTTTTCAAAATTTTAATATTTTAACAGCCTCTATTATGCTATAGTCCTATCAACTTTCCATGCAGATGAAAAAAAGCCATCCTATCTTTTAGGGGATACTGAATAGATAAATTGGCTTTCAAGTATGTATCTAATTCTACATCACACACAACTGCGTAGATGGAGTGATAGATTTCAATCCTTGTCTCAGGTTTACGAGACTCTTGAGCATCGAATGGTTGTGGCAGAAGCATCACAGAGATTGAGGCTTCCTMTTATATCAAAGGATGGTGAAATCCACGAGGAAGAGATCGAGAAGTTGAGTTTAATATCTCGAAGTTCCCTTGATAGTACAAGCACCAGTGTCACAATCAGCTCAAGCACTAACTCAACAAATTATGCAAGTGCAAATAGTACTGGAAGCATTGTGAACAATATTCTTTCGGTTAGCTCAACTGATACCGCCGAACCTGGAGTAGGTGGTGTTCCCAATAGCTTTCTTGGGATCACACCTGCCTTTTTATGGCAAACACAGCTCCATCAAACGCCTTCTATGGTATGACATCTATGTGGATGGGTGGAAAGTATCAAATTCTCAACGACGTATACATTTTCCCTTTTCTGTTGGCTTTTATTGAATTGGGTTATTTTGCAGACCGATTCTGTACCAGATATTATTTTTTAGCCACCTAATATTTTGCTCACAATTTATGAAAGGCATCACTGATCTAAATTATCTTCAACTTCTTCTAATGTCATTACAGGATATGACTGAATATCAAATGGCTCTTTCCCGTGAGATTGAGGCTCGTTTGAAGACTAAATGCGACAAGGTAGCTGATGCTTTTGTGATGGATGATATCGGTAAGTCTTTTGTTCCTTACCATTTATGTAAAAACTTGCGAGCGTGTATGTAATTGCGTTGAATTTTTTTTTCTCCCGGTTTTGTAGCTTTAGTTATATTTACTTGATTTTCATGTGTCGAAGTGTTGATATTCACTTGATTTGATGTGTCAAAAGTATCGATCTGTCTTTTTATCCTAGAACTGTTGGAAGGTTGCATCTTACATGTTTCAGTTCAACTACATTTATCCATGTGACGAGTGTTCACTTTTCTGCTACTTGATCTTGAAAAATGAAATTATATGGACTATGCTTTTAGTTTTAGTAGGTAATTCATTCTACAATGCATATCTTATTGCCGTACATTTATGCAGAGTCATCATCGGGGCATCATAGCTCTAGTGCAAGGCTTCCAGAGAGGTCTGGTTTACTCTTACGTGGCAATTGGCATTATTTCTTCTTCTTTTTTTTTTTTGTTTTTTTGTGCGTGTGTGTGTAAACCCCACATTTATATTTCTCGCTAAAACTTCAATAAATAGGGTGAAGTTGATAATCGAGGAAATTGAAAGGGAAGAAGCAGCTTTACGACAAGAGCTTTACTCAGCGGACAGAAAGTTTGCTGAATATTACAATGTATGACAAGAAGCTCATTTTAATATATGAGTACTTTTTATCCATTTTGGCAAAGTATAATTGCGTGAATTTTCTAATATTTTGTTCAAAACTAGGTTCTTGAGCAGATATTGGGAGTGCTGATTAAGCTTGTTAAAGATTTGAAGCTGCAGCACCAACATAAATATGTAATCACTGTTATTTTCTATCATAATTGATGGTTAAATTTTCTCGAATGACTTCTGTAATTCTATTTCCTTTGTAGTTTTCTTACTCTAGCACATTTAACCTGTTACCTGTTTGAATTGAAATTTTGTAGGACGACCTCCAAAAAACATGGCTGTGCAAAAGGTGCGAGACCATGAATGCAAAACTGAGGTTTGTCACAACTCAATGTTGATTGGATCCTCATGGTTATTAAATAGTTAGATATTCATACTCTTTTTTCACATATTTGACACATGTTGGGTGCGCATTGGACGTTGTCTGTGTTTGACGTCTATCTGACACTGGCACTCCAAAAAAAAAAATAGTGTCTGTGCTTCCTAGTTCATTTTACGATCAGGGCATCCTAACTCATGTTTCTGGCTAAATCCATCCATCTGAAAGTCCATAAAGAATTGCGTTTCATGCATCCCTCCTGTATCTCTGTTTTGGAGCTGTATACCATTTTAACTGCAAATTCTGTTCCATTTATCTAAATATGCATTATTCTGCGGCAATGCTGTACCTCATTTTTCAGTGTTTTAGAGCACGTTCTCCTGCTAGAGACCTACACTCAGGAATCTATACCAGCCCTTCATAAAATAAGGTACGTGTATTTTGTTGATTGTATTCTTTTCACCAGCCAGCGTGTTATCTTTTGGAGGGTTAATATGATTAGAATGTGTTTCTTTGCAGAAAGTATCTTGTTGAAGCTACGGAGGAAGCTTCTATTTCTTATAATAAAGCAGTAAGTCTCTCTCGTGTTCTCGCTCTCTATATATATTGATAAAAGGAGAATATATTCACAAATGTAATAAACAATTTCTCTCGATCTTGGAGGCTTCTGTGATTTCTTTCTAACCAAAAAAGATTAAAAAAACACGCTAACCGTAGGCACTTCAGCTTTGTCTTTCCACCAGCGGTCCAGCACCATAGTGGAGGGGGAGGAAGAACAAATTTATGTTTATATATGACCTTTCTATGTTGTTTGATCATTAAACCTTATAGTATTTGACCTGATCTGTAATCTTTGCAACTTCAGTTTGAATTCACTGGTTCATGCTACATCGTTTACGTTTATGTTTTTGCCAGGTTACTCGTCTCCGCGAGTATCAAGGTGTAGACCCCCACTTCGACACAATCGCAAGGCAGTACCACGATATTGTAATGGTAATGTGTCGTGAAATAGTTTCTCACTTTCATCCTCTCTGTGAAAAATGGGGAAGAAAATAAAGGCTCATCAACTTTCACCCACTTTTGTTTTGCAGAAACTGGAAAATATGCAGTGGACAATTCACCAAGTTGAAATGGACTTGAAACGCTTACCAGATCAATCAAGTACATGAAATATATTCTCCACAGGAATTTGATTCATTTGGGTGTATTGCTTTCTTTTAATGTATTATATATATGACTTAGATCTGCTTCAATTTAGTATTTTTTCTGCAGCCTGTTCATAATGTGTGGTTTGTAAATGGGGTGATGAAGAATTGACTGGTTTTGCCCCCACTTTTGTCTTCTTGAATGATCAATTCAAATTTATCTCACCCATTCTTCTATCTCAAGTCAAGTTGTGAGGACAAAAAATATTTGGTGATAGATAGAATCCACATATATATATATATATATATATATATATATATATATATATATATATTTTTGCGTTCCTCTTATCCAGGTTTAAATACTAATTAGATTCAAAGTTTTACTATATTGTTTTTCTACTTTTAATTTTGGTTCATTTTAGTCTAATATTTTTAAAAATGATCATTTTGCTTTCTATTCGTAAACTTTTAATGTTAATTTTATATCCAATGAAAATTATTTAATACAAAATCATTATTATATTTTAAGAGATTTAATGAATGTATTGTTGTGTTGAAATTGTAATAAAAAATGAGATAAAAAATTAAAATAAATAGATCAAATCAGCTACTCACACAACCTTTTGATTGGAGGTATATGTCAATTACTGTTTAGCTATGCTTTTTAAATTAAGTACTTGTAAACATAAAACAATCAATTAATTTATTATTTACAAGTTATCACATTAAATGTTGATGTCCATAGATTCAATTGAAAATTTTCTAAATTTGTACAAATAGATCAAGTTACTCAAAAAGGGAAAAAATGATCAAGTTGTCTATTAGATGCTCTATGTTAATAGACTTTTTTTTTTCAAATAATAAGATTTATGTATATATATTTTTTAAATTCAAATAATTTGGAGTAAAATTTCAACCTTGAATCTTTAAGGAGGGATTGATGGTAGCAATAAGCTCGAATTTTGAGATYGATCGGTTAACATATTATTCTCTGATTAAAGTAGTGGACTAAAATAAATAAATCTTTTTTTTTGACATGACTAAAATAAATCAATCAATTTATTAAAAACAAAATAAAAAAATTTAAAGTAATTGAGACAAAATTTTTCGAAAAAAAAAAATTATAAAAATTGACTAACCGTTTGTTTTTTGAGAATGTAAATACCTRAAATTTTAGATATCCATAATTTTCAGATAGCCACTTTTATTTTGTAGGAAAATTTATAAAGATGTTCGGAAATATTTGGATAGCCACGTTTGTTTTGACAGATTTATTATTGGAAATATGTCAAATTCATAGAATGTTACAAAAAAAATGCCTTAATTCATATAATTTATAAATTTTATTTTCAACTTTAATATTTTTCTAAGAAGACAATTAATTAATGTTACTTTGGATGAAATTTATTTATCTTATCGTAACATTACATTTTTTTAAGAGGAAAAATATCATGTAAGTCATAAAAAAAGTTGGTTTAAAATTATATACTCACGATAATAATTTCTTAAAAAGATTAAAAATAAATCAAGATATTATATAATTTAATTACAATTTATTTTATAAGTAAATGTAATCTACAAATATAGTTAATTTATTTGTCAAAGCGAGCACGGAAAACTTTCATACTCCTCCCATTTAAAAGTTGTCACATAAAATATCTTATTATTATTATTATTATTATATATATTTTATGTGGCGTCTACATATTTAGAAGTAATATTTATTCCACTTATTTCACTTTCTCTCTTAATTTAATGATACATTCTCTCCCTTATTTATTCTCTCCCATAACATATAATTAAAAAAATGGAATTTTCAAATAAGTTCATGACATATTTTTTAATATATGTAAATTAGTTAATCTTATTATTCAATATTTTTACATATATTAAAAAAATCAAATAAAATATGTTGTATTTTTTTNTTTTTTTTATTTGAAAAAGAAAGTTACATAGGCAACAAATAAAATCTAATTATAATATTGATTAAATGATACAAAATAATTATTTAACTATTTGAAAATAAAATTACAAACAAAATGAAAATATCAAAACAAAATAAAGGAAGAAAAAATTAGCTGCCGTTTACTTACCCGCAATCGTAATCAATRAGTTGTAAGAGAAACTTTGATTTCCTTTTATAGTGTTTACCAAATTGCAGTAATTAATATTTATCGTGACATCGAAACCCCTCTCCCACATGTTTTACTAAAAAGGAATGCATTAATTTATTTAAATTATAAATTTAAAAATGATAATAATTTTTTTAAAAAATAAAAAAAATTGACGAAAGAAAATATACGGAAAAAAAGAGGACAAAAATGTAAAAAGTCAATTTTCTCGGCCCGAAAATCTTAATACCTCCCCTATGAACATTGTACAGAGTATCTCAAGATCGAGTATGCTCGTTCCCACAAAATAAACTGGTGGAATCGAGATACCCTCTCATCAAAATCCAAACCCTAAACCAATTTAAATTTAGCCACGAATTTCCAAAAAAGGAAAAAAAGAGCAAGTTGAGTCAGTTGACAGTACTTTTTCAACTAAAAAATACAAATTCTCCATCTTACAGTGGGGCCCACCATTCACCGCCCGGTTTCGCCATTTACGGAGAACCGTGCACAGAAAACAACGCCCCACTTGGACCGAACCGCCATTTTTTCCGAGTCTAAATTCATCTCATCCCCGTGGGGCGGGGCCCACGCCTCGTATCGGGTCACGAAGTTTCCGGGTCGCGTTCAACAAACGCGTCCATTCACCGCCGTTAAAAGAAAACATTATTTTTATTTAGAGAATAGAAAAGCTATTTTATTCTAATTGGTTAAATCTCGACCGTCCACGTCATCTCCCAGAAGATTCCAGCTCAATCTGGCGAGTACGAATTCGTGGCGGAAACGGACTATGATCTCACCGCCATCCTAAAATCTCTATAAATATTCCCAAATTTCTCTCCCAATTCTCTCATCTTTCTTCCTTCGATTTTCTTCGCGCTCGTCTTGTAAGTCTCTTACCCCTTCTAATTTTCTTGTTTTTGCCTTCGATTTTGAGCTCCCTATTGTTAGATTTCATGTTCTTCCTGTGGGATTTTGTCTCTGGAATCTCGATTGCTTTCTGGGCCTCCGTTTCTTTTTCGTTTGTTGATGTATGATTTTGAGTAGTGTTCTTGATTTTGAATGTTTCATGATCGTTGGGAGATTGAAATTGATCGTCCGGTTGAGTAATATTTAGGGTTTTTGCGTTGTTCGTTTTCTTTCTGGAACGATCGCGATTGGGGATTACGTTTTCAATTTGCGATCGTGGTTGTTTTTGGTCTCGATGATCGTTGTATTTGGACCTGAATCCCCGTTTTTGCGCTTCTAAATTTTAGGGTTTCTGTTGCTTTATGAATTTTGGGAGTTCGCGTCTTATACGGATGAATCATATCGCTTATTTGATATCTTTGTTTCAGATTTTAAGCGATCCAGTTCCGTTTCAAGCTTTCATCCAAAACAAAGTTCATGGTTGAATTAGACCTCGAGATCCCATCTGCTTTCGACCCATTCGCTGAGGCCAGGGATTCTGATGCCCCCGGGAACAAGGAGTATGTTCATATCCGCGTGCAGCAGAGGAATGGTAAAAAGTGCTTGACAACAGTTCAGGGTCTGAAGAAGCAGTTCAGCTACGAGAAGATCCTCAAAGACGTCAAGAAAGAGTTCTGCTGCAATGGAAACGTGGTCCAAGACAAAGAACTGGGGAAGATAATTCAACTTCAGGGCGATCAGCGCAAGAACGTCTCCCAATTCCTGGTTCAGGCTGGACTTGTCAAGAAAGATCAGATCAAGATTCATGGGTTTTGACCAACCTTTGTGCTGCTGCTGCTGTTTGAATTTGGTAGTTTAATGCTTTTTGGGTATGTTCTAGCCCTAGTAGTAGTTTGTTTTTGTTGATTTCTTCGTTTTCAATGGATCCTATGTTGGCGTCTGATTGTTACTTTTTATCAATCGAATGTTTGATTCTGCGTATTTGCCATAAATCTTTTGCCCTCTTCAATATGGTTTGCTGCGACTCTTACAGTTTGCAGATGGGTTTTGGGTTAATTCCAAGTTAAAAAGAAGATTGTATTTACTACTCATACTAGTATTCATAGCTTCGTAGCATGAAAGTAGTTTTTCAATGGTCAAATTTGTGAATAGTGAATAGTGAAATGGTAGTTGGTGATAAGAAGATTGGGTTTATGGACCAACTCTCCCAATTAATAGGAATAACCTTTTTCAAAAGCAAGATTCTTTTTTTGACTTCAATTAATCTTCATTCATTATTTAACCATGGGAGAATGTTTTTGTACTCCAAAATATTCTTCATTTTCAGTTGTTGCGGTACTATTCGATGCCATGAATTACTTGTAGGCCTTTTCTTGACAATGTAAGTACCGAGTAAAAATGTGAATTACCGTGAAGAAATTTAGCATTTCTATAATTATTTTTTTCGGATATAGTGCATTTTAAGTGACATGGTTAAAATTATTTTTGCTATTATTAAAATCGTTTTATTGGGTAATTTTTGTTAAAAATCAACCACTTTTTGGAAAAATTTATAGAGTACTCACTACTCAATTATGAGATCTTCCTATATATTTAACCAAATACAATGGAGTTTACATAATTTTTTAAATTAAGCAATCCACGACATTTTATGTATACATCACAATTGCTATTTAAGTCAAATAATTGTTTAGTTTAACCCTTTCTCAAATATTATGTAATTTTTAACAATTTTTTATTTGTAAAATTATGTTTGAAACCAAATACGGCATATTTATGAGTGATTCCATTTTTTTGTGACTTTGGGAGTGGTTTCTGATCAATCATTTAGGGGTCATTTTTCAAGTGATTTATGATAAAAATAAATTAATAGGAAATTAGTTAAAAATGATTATTTTTTTAAATTCTATTTCACCTCACTTTCACTATAAATTTTGACAAAATATCTCTCTATATTTTTAGTTTTCACTATAAATTTTGACAAAATATCTCTCTATATTTTTAGTGTGCACTTATCTCTAAGCTTATTTTTTTCTCTAAAATTGTTCTCCCTCTCAAATTTCTCTTTACTATCTTTTATTGTATCTAACTTTTCTCTCTCTCTATTATTAAGGTTAAATTCTCTCTCTAAACTTAAAATATGAATCTTTCAAAATCACAATCACTTGTTCTAAAATCATTCCCATGTTATATAAACCACACCATTTCCACAAGCACATGGTTTTGGTTTCTGTCCTTTTTCCCATTTCCTCTTTTAAGAATTTAATTTTCATTTGGGTAATGGTTGAATGAATCTAATTATCGACTTGAACTTAGTTCAACGATAATTGGTACATGTGATTTAGAGGTCACGAGTTCACATTTCCAAAATTCGAAAAAAAAATTTATGGTAGGTTCAGAAGTGAATCTCTATTGATCCGGGTAGGTTCGAACACATAATCTCATGGTAGGTGATACCACAAGACGCCATATCCTTGACACTACTGCGTCGTACCCATACACTTTTTACCAATTTTTTTGATGGTATGTTATATAAATCAAGACTTTAAATATCAACGTTGATGAGATTGTCGATGTCTCAATTTTATGAAAATGTTGGTGGAGATATTGATAAAATGTCGATGTCTCAAATTGATGGAAATATTGGTGGAAATATAGATAAAATGCCGACGTCGTTTGAAAAAACTATAAAAATAAAAAATTCTTAAAAAATATTTAAATTAATAAATAACAATTTCACACCTTTCAAATAAGTTAAAAATTATTAATATTAATATTATGTTTCTATTAAATCATATTAGGTGATACTATGTTGATATTTTTTTATATTTTATCGACTTTTTATGATATAATGGAATTCTCGATTCATTTCTTATATCAATGAAAAGGTCGAAAAGTCCACAAAAATTTAATACCCAAATATAAATAAAGAGTAAGAATTCTATAACCTATTACTTGGAAGGAGATATTAGAAAGGAGCAGTTATTCCTTCTATAATTAAAACCTGTGAACAATAGTTTTAGCTTCATAATAATATTTGTCAGAGCACAATTTAGCGATAATTAATATATATCTCTAACTAATAGGTTGTTTGTTCGATCCTCCACTCCACATGTTCTACTAAAAAAACTTCATAATAATATAATTTTTCCAAGTCATTTTACATTATTTCACAATTATTTTTCAACGTTTCTATTTATGTTTATCATCAATTAATTTTAACATTTACCAATCGTATGAAACTAAATTGATAAATATATTAAAACATTAGATATTAAATTGGAACTTTTAGAATTATAAGAACTAAATCGAAAGAAAACTCTCAAATATTATTAAGAACTAAAACATATCTTCCTTCTTATACAACTCAATCTTGAGTCGGGCTTATATCATGTATAAAATTTTGTTTATCACATAAGCATTTTTATAAGTTCATTTCTTATTCGGCTTCGTCGGTGTCTGATTCCTTTCTTTCTGCTTCATCCGTTGATGCGCCCTGCTTTTTTTAAATAGAAAAAGGAGAATTATAACTATTCCAGCTTAAAAAACAAAGGTTAAAAAATATTTTTGATCCGTGCAGTTTTATTGAAATAACGATAGAGTCCTTGAACTTTAGTTTTTAATGATTTAATCCCTGTACTTTAAAATTGACAACAATATAATCTACTTATGAACTTTAGTATATAACAATTTAGTCTCTATATTTAAATTTTGTAACAATTTAGTCTTTAAAAAAATTTCATGATATGAACTAAAACGTTACAAACTCTAAATTACAAGAACTAAATTATTACATAATATATGTAAAATTCAGAGACTAAATTGTTACCAATTTGAAGGTACAAAACTAATCTTAATTAAAGTTCAGGGTTTAGGACTAAATCTTAATTAAATTCTAATAAAGTTGATGGTCTAGATCGTTACTCCACGTAAGTATCCATAAAAAAAAAAGTTCTTTTAACAAAAAAAAAAGTAATTGAACTTTGAAATATGATCGGATTCAGTTAATAATAATAAAAAAAAGATGAATCTCTTCTTCAAATTAACTACTAATCTTCTTACTTTAGGGAGAGGCCACTAATTAATTAAGACTATTGCTTGAAGCAAGCTTTGTTTCTCATATAGACTCATACTACTAAATTTTACCCTCCTAACTATCTTTCATACCCATGATCTACTAATTAGTTCTTTTAAAAAATATAATATTTTTTAATATAATAACAAGGTATGAGTGGAGATTCGAATTCACGATATTTTTTTTTGTCGAATATACGTCTTTACCAGTCGTGTGCTAAGCTCAGGTTGTCAACAATATTAATATTATGGAAGTTAGATATAACTACTCAATTTTCTTTACTTTTACCTTCAAAGAAAAAGGGTTCTTTACTATAATTTTTAAGGGAAAAATACATTTTTGATCCATGAGATTTGAGGTAGGTGTCTATTTGGTCCATGAGGTTTGAGGTAAGTGTTTACTTGGTCCCTGAAGTTTCAAAATAAACACTTTTTGGTCTCTTAGGTTTGAGACAGATGTCTAATTGGCCCTTGAAGTTTCAAAGTGAGCACTTTTGGTCCTTGATGTTTAAAGTCGGTGTCAACTTGGTCCATGAAGTTTTAAAATGAACACTTTTGATCCCTAAAGTTTGAGAAATAGTTGTAAATAGTCCCTGATTTTTTTTTACTGTTAATTAACTAATACTAAAATGACGTGGCAAATTGCAATTAAATTGTTTATTGTAGTTGCTGATGTGACATATTATATTAATTAAATAATAAAATTAATTAATTAATATAATATGCCACATCAGCACTACAATAAACAATTTAATTGCAATTTGTACCAAACATATATTATTTAATTAATATAATTTGCCACATGAGCAACTACAATAAAAAATCTAATTGCAATTTGCCACGTTGTTTTAATATTAGCTAATTAACAGTTGTTTGGTTATCAGAGATCAAAAGTGTCATTTTAAAACTTTAGGGACCAAGTTGACACCTATTTTAAATCTCAAGCATCAAACATGTTCATTTTGAAACTTCGAGGACCTAGTAGACACCTATCTCAAACCTCAGGGATCAAAAATGTATTTTACCCGATTTTTAAATTACCTTTTTTCACTAGGAAATCATTTTCCAATAATCTAAAATATATAAACACAAAATTATGTTTGGTTATCTTTTAATTTAATTCTCTTCATTACACAGCGATCTATCTTTGTTTAATTTTTGAAAATAGAACTCGATTTTTCAAACTTCAAACTTTATTTTATATATATAGTAATCAATTCCTACTTTAAGGAGTCTTAGATACTTAAAACAACCCTAAAGTATATAAAATTTCTATTAAATTATATACTACTAAAACTAAAATCGTAAAGAACCCAAAATGAAAATTTAGAGCTCATTTGGTAACGTTTCTGTTTCTTGTCTTTGTTTCTTTATTTTTAATGAAGAAAATTGTACTTCATGAGGTTCTAACCTCCAAGAATTCAAGTATGATAAACGGGAACAAGAAATGAGAAACTTGTTTTGGTTGTTTCTAAATTTTTTTATACAATTGCGAAAATGTTCCAAAAAAAAAGGAGAAACAAGAAATAAAGTTAGTTGTAAAATGTTTAAATTTCTTAAGAAAATTGGAAACGAGAAACGGGAACGTTACCAAACGAGTCCTTAGAAACCAATACAAAATTTAAACCTTTTAAGGATGCAATCATCCATAATATAGCTAGCCAACATGGATTTAATTACATCTAATATTCTTTTCTCTTTAGTGAGAAGGTTCAAGCTCCCGTACTCCCAATTTGTCGTAAAAAAAAAAAAAAAATTCCTCTCCCAATGTAGAAAATAACAAAGATGCTCAAAGTATAGAAATAACAACAAAACCATTACCATCAAATTGGATCCAAAAGATCTTCACAAACTTAAATTACATCAAATTTAAAAAAAATTCAATTGCATGTGTTAGAAAACAAGAGAGAGAGAGAGAGGAGCAAGTTGGGTATAGCATATAAATTAGCCAAGTTGAGAATTTTTGTCATTAAATACACCAAATTGAAACCCTAACCCATTACCTGTAAGTGTGTATTCAAAGTGGTATTATTAACAGCACCCATTGCCCATTGCCCACAGCTCACACAACAAAACCACCAACTTCTCATCTGCACACAGTTTCCCATTCAAAAGTGGTATCATGGTCAATTGCATCACCCTTATCCCTCGAGACCATATTGAAAAATTGACAATTCATTGTTTTTTAAAACAGTATTTGTTTTTTGCATTTATCTCTCTTAGTTGTCACTCATTTAATAGTGATCAGGACAAGATTGGTCCTTAACCTCAGCGGTAATTGACGAGAGATTGAACTCACACCCTCTTCGTCAATTACCACTAAACTATGTCTCTCTCCTCTTAGGTGATATGTTTTCCACCTTTTATTAAACACATTTGATTTAATGATCAAATTTCAAAAACAAAAACAAAAACAAATTTTTGTATACTCTCTTTTTTAACTTTTAAAAGTTAACTTAGATTTCGAAAACTTTTAAAATAGTAGTATTTATCAACTTTATTTTCAAATACAGAAAATAAAAAACAAAACGATCCAGATCTTAAAGAATTTACAGTTCTCATCTAAATAACTTATCCCTCCGAGATATTATATACATATATAGAAAGGTTAGCATGTAAAATTTTATCCTACCGATGAGAAAATTTCGAACTCGAGTACTAAAAATTTCCATATTTCACTTTTATCCCCAAAAATATCTCCAAACCACACGAGAAACACTTGGAAGAATAAAAGCTTTGAATGGTTTTCTGGAAAACCATTCGCTCAAAATGTTTTCTTTGTGGGGGAGGCTTCCATTAATGCCCCTACCTGTGCTCAAGTCCTTTCTTCACAGACCAATCAGAAACTTGAATTTACACTCTGTTCCAATAGCCTATACCTAGCTGTCACATTCTCTTCATATTAATGTTTTTTTTTCTAATTATTTATTAAAAAGAAAAACAACAACTCCCACTCTTTAATGTTTGGAAATTTTGAGGTTTCTAGTTAACTTTTCTATATGTATGATGAGAAATTAAAATTGAAGATATGTTGGTGATGAATGTATAAAGTAAAATATATTGGTAATGTAGTGTAATTTACTTAATTAATTCTTTTACTATTGAAAGAAATAAGTTAACGTTAACTAAATAATGCCTAAAATGAAATCAAAACTTATAGAGAAGGGTAGAGAAAAAGAAAAGATTTGTTGTTAAGTCAGCTAATTAAGCGTACTTAATTAATTGATATGACACCCAATTGCGGTCATTAAATAACACTGTCGTAAATTTTATTTTTTATGTTTAATTTATGAATGAATCTTTTGAATTTTAGTCCATAATTACTCAAAATTCAAAGTCGTGATTTCATGAAGTTTCTACCGATACATGAACGAGAAATCCAATTTTGTCGGATATGGACAATGGACATTTGATGGAATTTACTTATTTTGAAGAGTAATTTATATAGATCTACCGATTAGATAAAATATTATAACAACACCGACCAAAAGAGAATAATTACTAGTATCCCAAAAATTAGAATATATATAAATTAATAATGAGTATAATTACATTTAATCAATATGTAAATTAATCTCGGTGATTGATTGCTATTATAAAGTTACACATTTATAAATATTTTAGAAAATGAATTATGAAGTAACCCAATTCAAAATTTCATAATGGATTATATAGGTCGCAATTGATGATCAAAATACCAACTTTATTAGTTTTGTACTAAATATTAATAAATAAACTTTTCCAAAAAGAAAAAAATTGTATTGGTAAAGTCAACTAAGTGCAACTATGGGTTATTTATATTATAATTAAATGATATGACTAATACTATACTAATTTGTTTTCGTGATTTTCACGATTGAACAAACTACAAGAATTTTAAGTTATTTTAATGAAGAGCGAAATTTCATCGACATAAGTTATTTTTACCGATGAAATTTGGCAAAACTTTAGACGAAAAATGAATTTATTGACAAAATGCTTTATAAAGTATCGAAAAACATGTCAATGCAACTAGTTTTGATCATTAGTAGATGTGATCAATGGTGACGAAATTTTGCTATGTTGGGAAAAGATGGATTTGCACCAATACTGAGCCATTTGACGGGAAATAATTGTGATGAAATTTGACAGCTAACTTTCTCCTAAACCATTAATAAAAAGTTGACAGCTCCTTATTTTTTCGGAAAACAAGAAAACTTTTCTCCTTTTTACATTTCTCTCTTCTATTTGTCCGAAATTTAATGGTGGTAACAAGAGACGATCAACGTGTCACCTAAACATTATTCTTCAAGATTATTACAAACAATGAATGAATTTGGTAATAACCATTCATTCAGAAAAWTTTTTTTCTTTTCTTTTAGATTTTCTCAGAAAAACTGTTATCGCGATTCTAATATTTATTTTTAACCAGCAATTAATAATATATAAATTGGTTTATGGATCGATTTTGTATATAAATTTTGGTTTATGGATTCTAATATTATATATAAATATTTTCGTGGCTGAAAGTCCTAATTTTTGTAGCGTCTCTCATCTTAAATCGACAATAAAAGTCCAACATCACCATTCACAAACCATTAAATGGGGAGATATAATTGTATTAAAATTAATTTTCCATCAATCAAACTCATGAAATCTCTCCAATCTTCCATGTTCTTCCATTTTCCAAAATGGATTTCTCTAAAAACTTCATTTTTTTTTCTCCTACTGTACTAAACTGATGCATTGTATCAGCAATAAAAACTTGGCCCTACCATCTTCTCTCCCTCTCTCTGCCCTTTAAATATGTGAGTGAACTTGTGTTTTATTTTGCAAGTAAACTCTAATAATTGGAGCTGTTCCATAAGTTCTTTTCTATCTCTGATTTCTTCTCAAGTTAAACATGTTCAACTTCGTGTTCGTGATAACTTCCACGGTGCAACAATGGCAGTTCGTTGAGTTTCAAGAGGAGGCTTTCGATAAAGCTCTCGGGTTCTTTGTCGAAGCTATAAAGAAGATTGTTTTCGCTTTGTTTATATGTCTTCTCGTCTTAGGTCTCTCTTCTCTCTTTTAACGGAGCTAAAAAGTTTCATGGGATGGAGTCCAATTTTAAAATTTTAACTTTCTAATATAATTTTATTTTTTTAAGTTAAAGATGAGGAAACTATTTCATTCTTCCTTTTTCACTCTACTTTGTGTCTTTTTAAGGTGGGGAGTAAAAAATGGTTTAATTTGAGTGCAAAATTTTGCATTGAAAAAAATTATAATCTTTTAAACTCTTTTGATATAATTTTTATAAAATTTTAAAAAATGATCTAAATACATATCACAACTACGTCTCTCCTTCTTTCTTTGCTCTGCCTCTACGTGCTTTCGACTTACGTCTCGGGATTCACATAGGTGGTGCATTGGTGGGGACGGTGATCGGTGCTTTCAAAGGACATGGCACGGGCCTAGGCGCCATTGCGGGTGCTGCCGTAGCACTTCAGCTGTGGGACAACGGCACTGCAGATCCTAGCCACTCCTTATCAAAGGTCCAATCCAAGTCCCTCTCTCTCTTTCAATAATCTATTCTTAGACATGATTAAATCATCAATGAACTTTTAAATCTATGCCCTTTTTCCGGTGTAGGAGGGAATAATAGAGAGGCTGATGGATGGGAGGGGCTACATAAACTGGGTAAGTGAAAAAAATAGCTTGAAAATGCTGCTGCTTAGCTTCAATGGCGGATCATAAAAAGCAAAAAAACATTTTTGCAAAACTTTTTCAGGCCAGCAACTTCTCGGAGTACATGTACAGGGAGATAGCTGACGTCGCCGGGGACGGGGACGGGGACGGTGCCGGAGAAGAAAGTTGTGTGGAAGGGATGGCAAGGGAAAGCATTGAGAAATTGGGTGTTTGTGAATATGATCATAGCAAGATGAACAACTCCATTATTTCTTGTTCCATTTGCTTAGAGGTAAATATGGTTGATGATGAATTGATGATTTTATTTATTTGTTTATTTATTTTTTTCCTACAACAATTAATTATTTTCTCTCTTTTGTTTTTTGGGTACTATTAATTAGATTCTACTTTCAACTTTCTCTTTGCTTGTTATAATTTTGACAATCACGTGGGTTATTTTTATCATCTATTTATGTCTATTTATGTTTTATTTGAGTGGATCTCGTTTGTATATATTTGAGCTACTAAAAATAAATCAAAATGTCAACTTGAACCTAACTTAATGGGTTAAAACACCAATGTCTGACTATAAAATCGTGAGTTCGAATTCTCACTCCTTACATATTGTATTAAAAAATACTATAAATCATATATGTACGAGTTCTTGTTTACTAGTTAATAGATAGGTACTGTTTTATTAGATTATAGTTCTTTATCATAATTCAATTTGTCAAAACATATATTCTCAATCAAAAAGTCAGAAGTTCGAATCTCCATTTCGTATGTTGCTGAACTAAAAAAATGTTAAAAAATTCTTTCAACTCTGCATAAAAAAATTATTTTTTGATTTTCTTTGTTAATTATTTTTGTGGATTATTTAACAAAAAAAAAATACATTGGATCTTTCATGTTTTTGTTTATTTACTTGATATGTTATAGAATATATAGAATCTAATGAATAAATTGTTGATCTTAATTAACTAAAATAACTTGTCCTCAAAATAATAAAAATAATAACTAAAATAAACGAGCCAGAAAGATATACGTGAGGCATTAAGATTAACCCACGATGCATTTACATATATATAAGTTGAGAGATTACAACACCACATTTAAAATTTATGTAATGTTTGATAAAGATTTCATTTTTAGTTTTCTATTTACTAAAAATTATACTCGCTTCTCACTTGGTTTGGTGTGTTTTTTCACCTTTTTTTAATTACATATTTTAATTCTTATAAAAATTAAAAATAAATAAAGCCAAATTTTTAAAAAGTTTGACGTTGATATTGAAAACGTTTTTAAAAAGTAGATAAAAAAAATGTACAAATAAAAATAGGGTATTCTAAATTTTCAAAAATAGAAAATAAAAAATAAAATGATAAAATTCAAATGTAACTTTAAAGACCCACGTAGTTTTTAGACCAAAATAGAATTTAAACTATTAATTTTCTTAATTTTTTTCCTTTCACAACATGACTTTCTTATACATAAAAAAAAAAAAGAGAGATCTTTTGCTTTACTTTTTAGGTATCATTCATTTCTTATCTTAACTTAACAAATAAGAAGATGCCACTAATATTATTTTAGGTTAAATTTTTAGTAAATCTGTGTCTAACAAGTTTTTTTAAAATTATTTAATAAATCTATGAAATTTTAATCTCGTGTGTAATAGATTCTTCATAAATTTTAAAAAGTCTCTAAAATTTTAGTTTTGTATCTAATAGATTATCATGAATCTATTACCCATAAAGTTGAAAGTTTAAGGACATGTTAGACAATTTTTAAAGTTTAAAAACTTATTAGACGCAAACTTAAAAATTCAACTACTAAACTTACAATTTTACAACGTCATTAAATAGAGTAGAAATTGCTCGAGAGATAGGTCGAGTTTTTTTTTTTTTTGTGCATAATGATAGATCTTGTTTTGTGTCTCAGGAATTTGAAGATGGAGAATTTGGTAGAAGACTTCCAAATTGTGGTCATCTCTTTCATGTGGGTTGCATAGATCAATGGCTATATTTGCATGGCTCTTGCCCTATTTGTAGAATTTTTTGTTCTTAGACCATTCCCCTCATTATTATATTATATTGTATAATGAATTTTGGTTTTTGAGTCTATATAAATTATTATATGCCATCCTTTTATAATTGTTATTTAAAAATAATATTTGATATAAAATTAAAAAAATATTAACCATGTATCGACTTACACCAAAGAGTATGGTATCGTTCATAATAATCAAGAAGTAAGATTGTTAATGTCAGAGTTACGAGTAATTATTGTTTGTCACTAAATAATAAATTATCATCATTCATGTTTATATTTATATGGGTTATTTTTAAAAAACTTTTTTGAATTTGGTTGATATTGAAGACTATATTGACATTAATTTTTTTATTTTAAAAAATATCAATAAAGTATTAAATTATATAGCATAAATTTTTATAGCAAGCGTTTTAATATAATGAGTATAGTTTGGAATATCATTTGAATTTTCACCCTAAATATTATTTATTTAATCTTTCTAATCTGAAAAAAGTGTCACTTACTCCTCTAATTGTTACATCGTTGCTTGATCATCAAGCTAAGTAAATGATGACTTAACAAGGATGAATGAAAAAAAAAATTGAAAAAATATGATTTATCACGTATCAATATAGTCTTAAATTTGTAACAAAACCATTTAGTCTATAAATTTTATTATGTAATGATTTAGTTTTCTAGTTTAAAATTGGTAGTAGATTCTGTTCTACTATGAAAATTCTCATCTATATAAAGTATGGATTTAAGCCTCTCTTATAAACACATTTGGTTATTGAGTTCGTACATGTTTGAGAAAACCTTCATTCCACTTTAATAGAAAAAAGTCGTCTCTCATGAATACCCATGCTCGGATTGATATATATATATATATATATATAGTTCAATAATATGTAGGGTGGGAATTCGAATCCTATGAATCTATGACGGTTTAGTCGAGGTGATAATATTTTAACATATTAAACTCCATTTATAGACACGTGCAATTCCATCTCCAACTGAGATCACTCGACCAATCTTATCCACTCGAAAATTCGGATCAACAAACAATTCATTTCTAATAAGGTCGGTAATTCCGTAGTTTTCCATAGAAATTTTCATGATTCTAAAGTTGTCTCGAGTTAAAGAGAATATTTGTGCAAATAGATCTCCTCATCTATCGTAGTTGGTACGTTGAGTACAAGTTGAGTACAAATTATTACCTACTAAGATTCAAAAATTAAATTAGTATAAATTTTAACTACAAGAACTAGATTATTAAACTAGTTCTTAAATGCTATAATCGAAGGAGATTATTTCAATAAAATCATGTTACCAAAGGTGTTTTTGTTTTTGTCTTTTTCAAGACATCTTAACAAAAAATCCTATCAATTCAAAAAGATTCTAACCCAAAAACAAAAAACAAACTTGAATTTTTCGGATTGAACTGAATCCACTTTTTAGAACACTTCCAAAACTCTTGCGTCAAATTGTTTATGGTGAGAGAGCTCGTCGTATTATTCCCAATGGTGGGGACTACCTCGATTCGGCTGCGAGCGGCTTCATCGGTGATTGAATTTTGGGGCACCCCAAAAATCTTCCGTTTACAGCCCAAAGTTTGAAACGTCCTCCTCATTCAATTCGGTAACCATATTTCTTTTCTTCTTTTTATCTTCTCTCGATTCAAAAGGAAAGCATATTGATTCTTTTCTTCCAACCACCTGTTATCTTCCATTTGGGTCTTCGACATTTTTTGAAGCTTCTCGGGGTTGCTCTCTGTTTTATTGCCCGTGAAGCTTGCTCTCCTCGTTCTGTTTTCGAAATTAGATCTGAAAATTTCACGGACTTGTGATTTTTGTGAAATTCGACCTGGTATTTACGATTTCACTTGCAATTGGTGGTGGATTATACTTGTGATGAATCTGGGTTTGATTTAGCTTTGTAATTCGAGAAGAGGGTTTTTCCAGGCACACGTCTGTGTGTGTTATATGCAGCTAGGAGATTTATTTTCCTTGTTTTCTTCATATTTTGACTTTCTTAACGTATTTTTGGTGCTCCTTTTGAGTATGAACATATTTGCTTGCTGTTAGGAATTCCATTCTGTTTATGTTTTTCTTTTCCTGTCAATGCTTTTGCATCTTCTTCTTATGCATGGAGAAGTTCTCTAGTAATCTTTATCTTGGTTTTTGTTCTACAATTGATTTCATTGCTTATTTGTTTGGAAAATTAAGGATTCTATGTTCAGTTGTGTTAGATATTGAAGCACCCATTGATTGAACTGATTTCAGCCTTTCAGGTAATATATTCTCATACTATGGATGGTACAATTACTAGAAGGGTTATTCCATCAGACAACAGTTGCCTCTTCAATGCTGTTGGGTAAACTTCAAATTTCTTGCCCATCCATTCCTTTATAATGATTATGAGATCTGAGTCTCTATTGTCTTTGAAATAGAGGTATTTTGGTTTTTTTTCTCCTTTTTTTAGTTCATCGATTATTTGTGGGGTGGAGATTCAAATTTCTGATCTCGTAAAATGTTACTTTATATCTTAATCGTTCGAGTAATGCTTAGGTTGGGAAAATAGGGGTATTTTAGTTGTGACATGTCAATGTATGAGGCTGACTAAGAGAGAGTTTAAAGATTAAAAAAAAAAACTATAAGCTTCTTGACATATAATTTTTAAACTTTTGCAAAATATAGATCCCCTCGGGTTTGTTGCTCCGCCACTGCCTGTTTGGTACTTAGAAATAGAGTGTGGATGTTAATTTCAGACAACAGTTGACATATTTGAAAATTGAACTTGTGAACCCAACAAAAAAGTGTTAGATCCAACACAAGTCATGAATTTTGAGAAAGATATAATTGAATTGTTTTCCTTAGTTGTATGTGTTTTTTATTTTATCATCTTACTTCTCATTTATTGGATACCATGTGCCTTATCTCTTTCATATTGTATTTTAAATGCAAATATCATCATATAAAATTCAATTTTTTAGTATGGAAATAATTGAAATTCAAGGAGCATGCAAATACATTTGGAAATATAACTTTTACTGGGTCCTTTCCATGTTCATATTTTGGCCTTTTAGAAGATGCAATGTCGGTTGTCACCATACCCTTGTCATGTGGCCATGTCTCATGTTCATGTTTCTGCTACTTCTATTGTGCTTGATATTTATCTTTGTTGAGTAATGTATGTTAGGTACGTAATGGACCACGATAAACACAAGGCCTCCGAGCTAAGACAGGTTCAGATTCATAATGTTTTTATTGTGCATCTCTATTTAGGAGTTATTTTTTGAGTACTTAATGTAAGAGAATCCATTTTGGGAGCTTATTAAATTTAATACTTCTACGTGGGGTCGGTTTCTAAGTTCTTTTGTGATTATCAGTTAGGTATTATCCTTTTAGATTTGAGTCCCTATCTTCAGGTGGACCTCCTGTCGTAGGGCTGTTTTTTTATGCCCTTGTATATGCTTTCTCTTTTCATTTTTCTCAATGAAAACCTCGGTTTCTCATTAAGAAGGAAAACATATGGAGTTATTTTCAATTTCTAAATTCTTGAAGGAAGATATGTCCAGCCCTAACAATTTGCATTTGTCCCCTTGTAGTTAAGAGATTCTAGAATATAAGTTGCAGAGTGTTATATTGCATACTTGGGCTAACTTTTCAGTTTTCATTAATGAAGTTGATGTGATATCAGATGTGAACTTCAAATGATTACTGAAAGAAATCCTGCATTCTCATTCCATATGATAGCTCCTTCTTGTACAAATACAATTGTATTATTTACTCTGAACATTGGGCCCAATTGATTCTCTTGAAGGTCATAGCTGCGACAGTAGCTAGCGATCCAGCAAGCTATTCGGAAGCATTTCTCGGAAAGCCGAATGAGGAGTACTGTGCTTGGATTCTTGATTCTGAGAAGTGGGGAGGTTTGTATCGGTACTTCCACTTACTAAATGGGAAGGCTTTTATGAGATTTTATTTGTTGGAGATCTTCAAAATGTATAGTTATACTGCTGTTTCTTGGTTCTAGCATGGGCTAAGTGTTCTATTGAACTTCCCTCATGGATGTCTTCAATATGTTGGATGAATACTGAAGATGACCATAAAGACATAAAAGAGATTTTTCTTTTTATATAAGTAACCGAGCTTTCATTGAGAATAAATGAAATAGGGGACATAATCCAAAAAGAGTGACACCTAACTAGTAATTACAAGTCTTAAAAACCGACACCATGGAAAGAATTACTATGTTCTTGTAATAGTAAACTATAAACTAAACTGAAACATAAGAAAGCTTTAGGTGTAGCTGGAATGTGTGGAGCCTTTTGGGATTTTTCCAATCTTCTTTATTTCAGTCGATCTATACTCACTAAAAGGCAGTGTTTTTGATTTAAGCATTTGAACATGCAAATATATCTGATTAGGCACTGGAAATATGCTATGTAGGTAGATTTATTCCTTTTAAGTTTGTTCTCTTATCCAGGTGCCATTGAGCTCTCGATATTATCCGAATATTATGGGCGTGAAATTGCAGCATACGATATCCAGACCACGCGATGTGATTTGTATGGCCAGGTTAGGATTTTTAATTCCTATGATGATTCGATCCCGTTGCCCTGTTGGGAATAATCTTTTCAAGTTTCTGGCTCTGATTTTATCTGTCCTCTTTGACAGGAAAAGAAGTATTCTGAAAGGGTTCTACTGATATATGATGGACTCCACTACGATGCTTTAGTTGTATGATCTTCTGATTTCTTCATCTTCTACTATTTTTATTCTGATGGTTGCCAATTAGTAAAACAATTATGGGATGGAAATTACCTCCCCTCCCACCCGACGCCTGTCCTGATCCAGTATATCATTTAACGTAGCAAGATGACCTTGAAAATATGTTGTCTTGTATGAACAGGAACTGCAAAAATGCTTGTGGTTTCTTATCCCATGATTTCATTATCATGATTATTCTGTCTGTTATCCTTCTAGTCTGTCTTTGATTGTGTCTGATATATGAATGAATCTTGGCTTTTGCCAGATGTCTCCAGCCGAGGGGGCTCCCGAGGAATTCGATCAGACCATATTTTCTGTGAACAAGGACAGGACAATTGGGCCCATTGAGCAGCAAGCTCTTCATTTTGTAAACGAACAGCAAAGGTATGATATTCTTGTGGTCTCATGGTGAAGGAAAAGTCGATTTGTCTGTCTAAGAAAGATATAACGAAGTGGCTTGTGCTTGTTTTAATGTACTTGTCTGCTTTAAACATCTGATCAGTTGAGCTGAATAAATTTGTCCCTAAAGTTGTCATTGGTACCATCACTTCTCTTTGATCACTACCACCAATGCCAATGCCAACTTGAGAGAAAAAGGTTTAAAGATGGGAAGAAGTTTAATTGACCTTTTGAAATATTTCAGTTTTCTGTTTTTGATGTTTTGAACATTTTCTTCTATTTGTATTGATGTCTTACTTCATGCTGATATGTTTCAGGAAAAGGAGTTACACCGACACCGCCAACTTCACTCTTCGCTGTGGGGTTTGCCAGATTGGAGTCATTGGCCAGACGGTATTCCTTGTCTAAATCCATAGCTTTTCTAATCGATTCTTCAAACTCTTATAACTCATTTGAAACATCAAATTTTCAGGAGGCCGTAGAACACGCAAAAGAAACTGGCCATGTCAACTTTCAAGAGTATAGATGACAGGAAGCATGTCGGGAAAAGTAATGGAGCTGATCGGTGTGAGCTTCATCGGCTCCTCCGCTTGTCGAACTGGTGTGGCATTTTGATTTGTTATGTTGCCATTTCAAAATCTTGATTACCCTGGAAAAGTGGTCATATTTACTGCACAAGTTGTGTACAATGTTGTGTATTTGATTCAATAATCACAGAGTAAGCTGTTGTAAATCACTCTTCTTATATGGTTCAGAATCCTTTTGCATTCTGGCTGTTCCTTGCCTGTTATCTGTGATATTTTTATAAAATTTCTAAACTATGGGGTGCGGATCCAAGATCTACTCTTACAAGGGAGTCCGAACGAACATTTCGAAGATTATTAATCGATTGATAAGTCGAATATTGATGTCTTGACTTTGAATGCCGATACATCTGGAGAAAATAGAGGCAGAAATTACATTCTTTTATGAAGCCTCATTAGTTTGAATCATACAGTACGGTAGAAATAGCATTGCCATGCCTCCTGCTCGACGAAAAACGACCTTTACAGCCGCGGAAAATAGTCCAGCCTTGCTCTCAAGTTGCAACGCCATGGACATCCAATAAAGCAAAATCATCAGCACAGCTTGATTGTCGGACAACATGCCATAAAACAAATCTCAGAAGGCCTCTCTATATCTTCTGTTTAAGGACATGCCGCAACTGTAGCTTCTGACTTTCCTTCACACTAATCTGGCCTTTCCTCTGTCGAGCTATTTGAGCCTCCCCTAAATCGAAGGAATTCCACTGCCCCATAAAATCTGGACTAGACCCACCATTTACTGATTCCCCCTCTTCTGGAGATGATGCTCTCCCATTACATTCCTTTACTGGTACCATCATCTTGTTGCTGTCTCCACCATTGTTATGGCCAGATTTCCACAGCCTCTTTGTTAAACTTGACACTTTCTTTGATTTCTTTACAAGTTCTGAATAGACTTCGCTGATGTTGATTGTTGTCTCACCACCTCCATATGCTTCCCAGTCTGTTCTACTCTCTGTGCCTGAGGTGCTGCTACTCTTTTTGCAATTCTTATTAGCAGGTGGTTTCGTCATGCTCCCTTCCGGTGAATAACTCGAGTCCTGATCCTCGACTTGGCTCACTGTTTCCCATCCACTCTCGTCGTCTATGTCACCATTCTGATCAATTAGTGCATGTGAGCATATCAGAGCGCCGTCCCCCCGTTTAGCTGCATCGACGTTTACGTCAGGGCTTGTCGATCCAACTTTGGAGGTCTCAGTTGCTGGACTATCAGAGCCGTATGGCTTAACCTCCCTCTCATGGTTTTCATCAAAATTAACTTCTTCAAATATGGAGAAAATATCATCTGGCTTAGAAGGTTGGTATGTAAACTGCCTAATGTCTTGAATGCTCACAGAAGAAGCAGCGTTTCCAAGTAGTACTGCTTCTCTCATCTCCTTAATGTCTGAGATTGCTCCCCTTGACTTTAGGAAATTTTGAAGATCTGCAGCAAGTTTGTTCATCTGAGAGTACTTCTCTTCTACAGCCACCTTGGCATCTACCAGCTTCATTTGAACGCGTTCTTCGCGCCAGACTTCTGCCAACTGCAGCATCTTTCTCTCTTCTTCTACTTCCTCTCTAAGTTTGGCAGATTCTCTCTTCGACGCCTCCATTTCTGCCTTATCGTCTCCGATTTCTTTAGCAAGTTCTTCACACACTTGTTCAATCAATTCTCTTTCCTTTCTTTCTTCTTCATAGTCCTGCATCAGCCGCTTCACCAAGGACTTGGCATCAGTCAGCTCATGAACCAGTTTTGAACTGAAATGTTCTGCTCTTCGTCGATTCTTCCTTTCGTGGTTCAACTCAGTTCTCATGCTCTCAATAAACACACGGATCTTCTCATGTTCCCGCATACGCCATACAGTCTTTTCTTCATCAACCTTTCTCAAGAAGTTCTCAAGCTTCTTTTTCGATGCATGACGTTCAGTTTCAAGCTCCAAAATGCGCACTCGTGCCTGCTTTAGTTCAGCTTCAAGGGCTGTTACAACCGAAACCAGGCTCATTTGTCGGTCAAGAAGCTCTGTTTGGTTGTAAATATTGCCCCTTTCATCTGCAATTTTCGAGCCAATAGGATCCCACTTAGTTGCCCCCTCCATAACTGAGTTGGAGAATTGAAAGAAAGGCTCAAGCTGGTGGCAGGGAGGGGAGGAGAAAACACTTCAAATTATATAGCAAACAATCAAATGTAAAAGAGAGAAATATGAAGGTAGTATTATTTACCTTGCACAAAAGGCCATTTCTCACACCAGAGGTTGAGGGTTGGCCCTGTAACAGATCCCTTGTTTCGTTACTAAATATGTTGTTATTATGATGGCGGAGAATTGGAAGTCGAACATGGCCAGCAACAGACTGCAAAAAGAACAATAAATGATCAAAACGATGAACTGAACTGCAGAACTAAAAGCTAAATTACATTGAATACATGCTGTGTAACTCATTTAATTTCTAAAAGTCATCCAATCACAGTTCGTAACGTTAGTTATAGAAACAAAAACAAGATCCAATCCCATACAAACCACTGGCTCTCAAAATTTTGTTTCTAAGTATAAGAGAAAATGTACATTCAGTCTTCGTCAATTGCAAATCATACAAACAGAACAACAATTTAGATTCCGTCGCAATTCTCCAAACTCAAATTGAAACGAGATTTCCAAGTACAGTTACCTGAAACCCCGGCTGCTGCTCCTGCGTTCGTATCAAATTTCTCCTCCCTCCATCTGCGCTCACCTCCGGCTTCTGAAAACGCCAAAAACCAGCAGCGAGCTTCCTCGCCGATACGATCACATCTCTTTCCCTACTAATCCTCCGGAGATCTTTCCCGTTCTCCGACACCGACTTCTTCTCGTCCTCGTCTTCAGCTCGATCGTCACCTCCATCGCTTCTCTCCTCGACCTTCCACTTCAGAAGCGGAGTCTGCGGCCGGCTCCTCCGTCCGGACGGCGCCGCTTTCCTCTTAATCAACGACAGGTTTCGGATCCTCCGCCGAGCATCCTTGCGAGAACTCGGCGTCTGCTGGAGATCCAATTCCGGCGATTGGTTAACCGACTTGGAATAGAGTGAAGAAGTAAATGTAGGAAGCAGTTGAAACTTCGCCGGCGGCGGCGGCAGCAGCTTCGTCGTCGTCTCCATCCGGCTGGAAGATGGAGGAGAGAGCGGAGCGAGAGAGAACTAATTTTTCCGGTTTTCTGAACGAGCTCATGGAGCTCTGGCAGAGGAGAATTGACCAAAATACCCTTAGGAGAAGATACCTTACGAAGCTAGGTGTATTTAATTAATTATTGGGTCAAGTCTCAAAATGCTCTTTTCTTTATTAATAAATATTTTTCTTGAAAGAATTTACTTTAATAAATATTCCTTACCTTCATCTTCATCTAATCTACCTTCACCAAAACATTTTCTTTTAATGGATTCTACACTAAATTGTTGAAAGTAATCTTTCTTTTGTTACTTATTTTGTATTCATAGGATAAAATTTATGTCCCAGAAAGTCATATATTTTTATTAATTTACTACCATCGTAAATAATGATTTAAAATAACCCAAAAAAATTTGGGAGAAAGTGTTAATCTGCATTCTTGCCGACATATAGTTCAACTAGTTAAGACATACACACTCTACTAGAAGGTCACAACTTCGAATCTCTACGTCCATTGAATTAAAAAAAATAATCTTTTTTTCCTATATTTTTCCTTCTTTTTGTTATGTTTTGAACCACTGTGTTAAGTTCACCTAAAGTGATGCGAAATAAGCGAGGTGAATCAAATCACCACGTCAAGTTTGGATTAGATCATACCCAATTGACCTCCATTCGAGTTGATTCGAGGAGAGGCTTTGGACCCAAGAAACATGCTACACAATTCTAATTTTTGTAAGCATCCGAGTGTGTTGGGTTTAACACCACATCGATGTGTCCCTTGTATGTACAGGTGTTCGTCGAAGCCTAGTGTTGCACCCTTGATCCAAATCCTACCACACCACTTCAAAAAAAAAAGGTCTAAAACAATCAAAAGGTGATAACCTTAAATTTGCCAACCGCTTATGTGGTATCTTACCAAATTGGGAGGGAAAAAACAAAAGTAAAATTTCTTCTATGCTATTCTTTTGGAAATGATGAAGAAAGTATATAATTCTCAAAATAAATGTATTTTAACTTAGCATTCTAACAAATTTAAATGAAAGGAAAAGAGTGATAGGATCATAAAAAAATAATAAAAAAATAGTATTTTTAAACAAATCTAAAAAAATAAGAAAGGGTATAATTGTCAAAATAAAAAGATACTTTTAACTTGTATTTAAATTAAAGGACATTTTGACACAAAAATTCAGCATTTTGTAGATCGTACTTCCCAAAAAACCAAAAAAGAAAACGGGGGCCTCTGGCAGATCGTTTCATGGATTCGTTTGCGGGGAGCAAACGACAGGCTCAGCCGCGTCCACGCGCATATACTCGCGTTGTGACCACGCGCGCGAGAATCCGAACGTTGGAGTGGATGCACGACGTCGTTTGGAGAAGACTGTTTGAATAAGGCGCCGTGCGTGAGCGTCACGCTCCTACGTCTGGACAAAATGAACGGTGGTTGTAAAGCAAACAGCATGCGGGCCCCGCTTCGTACGTCTGAGGTATGGATTTTTATTTGTCGGCCAATTGGAGGCCGCCACGTGGGACGGCCTCGTAGTTTGGTCCGGACCAGATTGATTTCCGAGCTTATTAATATGGGGAAAAAAGCTTATGAAGAAGAAAAAACATACAGATAATACATATGCTTACACTTTCTACGATAATGTTTTAGTTGAATTACAAACTTTTAGCCTTTCATTCTTGTATTGTTTAGATATCTTTAAATTTAAACAATTTTTTTAATCGAAAATAGGTATCTATACTTAAATTTTTAATATTAATAAGTTGTCATTAACGCTACGACGTAATCCATGGTGGATCCAAAATGCACAATTCAAATAAAAAAATTATATAAAAGAAAAATATGGTATTTCTTACTCTTAGAAAATCAGGTTTGAATATTTCACCCAAACTCAAACCTAGGGAGATTGGACTAATCTTTCTACTGCATCATGAATTTTTGTTAATTTAGATCAATTTTTTAGTATCTAATAAGATATTTGAAAGTTGGGGTCCGAGCACCTAGGCCCACTATAGATCTGCCTCTAGACGTAACACGTTAATTATAATAAAAGAATGAAGATTTGACTTGATGGAACGAATTGTATTAGAATAGTAAAATAAGATGAACAATTTTTTTTTAGGAAAAGTATTAATAAACTAAAGAAGGTCCTGATTAGCTAGACAAATCAGCCAACTAGCCATGAAATAACTTTCCCAAATTTGATATAGGTGAGTAAGCATAAATTATTTTTGTAATTATGTTTTTGGCATGCCCACTCTTATTTGTCTTGTTGTTGACACTCTTGGGTTGATAATTCAATTAACAATTCACGTTGACATTTAAATACGAAATAATTTTATGAGGAAAAAATCGAAAGTGTAGGAATGTAATCGAAGCATTTTAAGTTTATTGACTAAATATATACAACTATCATAAACATCAAATACTAGTTTTTTAAGCGTTGTTCGACAACGGTAAACGAAGTAACAATTAAGTTAAATCAATAATTTGGCCACAGTGTAATTAGATTCGATTTGATTCCAAAAGTTTAAAAAGTAGGTATTATGTCCGTACACGTTAGACTTGGATTCATTGTAGCCTTTAATATTTGGTCATAAATTATTCATATGATTATAAGCAATCGTCGTCGTACTTTACATACTTGACATGTTTTCTATTTGTTTAACTGTGGTTTTAATTGTTTTGGGCCTAATAAACAATCCGAGGTAAAAAGAATGGTTTAAGAATGCCCAATTTTAATCATATAAACTAAATTTAAAGTATTTAATTATTGATACTAAGTTTAAGTTATAAGACGAAATTAGTAATTCAATTTAAAAAGCAATAACATTTTATTAATTAGAAAGATAAATAATCTTTAAAAATTTTAAAGTCAATGAGATAGTTCCTATAAGAAATAGTTTTGAAAATAAAAGTAAAAAAAAAATTCAAAATAGTTTTCCCAAAGATATTTTGAGAATTAATAATTTAAAAAGAGATAAAACAAGAGTAATGCCTCATAACTTTATACCCCTAGACCAACCTAGAGAAACTGAAAAGACTATTTTACCCCTAATTTTAATCCTCCTAGACCTATGCTACCTAGGTTTTGTTCTATTTTAGCAAACCCACACACATGCTACATTTTTAATATGTGGTTAAAAGTCTTTTCGCAATTAAAAGGAATTAATGTACTTTATCAAAAAATAAAAAATAAAAAAAAAATCTATTTTTCGGTACACTGACTTTATTTGCTCACTTCTTCGACACTCACATCTCACTTGAGCTAATTTTGGACCTCTGCCATTCACCTAGCTGGGCTCCTTATACAACTTGGTTCATCTTTTCGAACACAATTGCAGTCTGAATTACCTTTTGCGTTGGGTTTAAGGGATACACATGCTCGCATCTCTTCGACCTCCTTAATGATCTAACGGACGAGTAACTCATACTCTCGAGCTACTTCCCTCTCACTTGATTGGTCTCCCAAGCCCATAGTGTCAAACTCTTTGACGTATTATTAAAACGGTTTCTACTTGTTCAACTTTGAAATGAATCATATTAAAAAGTTATGGTTTCTACTTATTGACGTAGATATAAATTATCAGTATTGTTATTATTATTATCATTGTTTGGGGAAAGAAAATCACCATGCCACGTGGAGGACGAAGAGCCGCCCACATGAGCGGTAACTCTGGAGCAGGTCCACCTGGGTCACTTAGTCATTTTGTCCTTAATAAGGGCTAAATCCGCTCCGTAACCGACATGCTGAGTTTGACATATCCGATCTATAATCCAACATAAATAACTGTCAGTCGAGGTACGTCGGATCCCAAACCTATGAGTAGAGGGCACCATTTTTATATTAAGTATCGAATTTCTCCTCTAACTTATTATTGAGTCTGAACTGTTTAGTGACTTGAGCGTCGGAGAGTTTCCTCTCTTGTACAGGTCATCTCGTGACATATCAAGTTAACAGACCTCCGAATCCGACCTTGACTAGGTCAGACCTCAATGTAAATTCTTGCATAAACAATCATTACTATTATTACTTATTTGTTTAATGCAATTTGAATTTTTCGATCAAAATAATTTCATGAATGCATAAAAAAATCATTTTGATTTATTTTCATTGTCATTGTTTACTATTATTAGTATTGTTATATTCTCACTTAAAATCAATCACAATCATTTTTATAAGGTAAATCTTTTATTGTTTGATTCTCACTATACAAAAGTTTTTCTTATAATTAATTTTCTGTTTAAATACTATTTTATTTCTTGCACTTCTAGTTTTAGTTAATGTTGGTCCCTGTATATTAAAAACGTCTCCATATATTTTAAAATGTCTCAGTCTTGTACTATTAAAAAGTGATTACTTTGATCCTTTTATTTTTACTTTTATTTGATTTCTTTCAATCGATACTTCACTCACTAATTTTTTTACATGTACCCATAAATTTGTATTAAAGACTTTCCACTTTTTAATAAATTTTGCAAGTAAAGATTAAGTTGCTCATTTTTTAAAAGTACAGTAATTAAAATGGATTTTTTTTTAAACATACAGTTGACAAGGACTATAACGAATATTGTTTACAATATAGAGACCAAAATAATATTTTTATTGAAATTTTCTCTCATTTTCATTTAAATAAATTTAATAATAAAATATTAAGTTAATATGGAGTAAATATTGATATCTAAATTTTCAAGCATAAAGTCAGATATCCTAAAGTATCAAACATCAGAATTTTGTTTCCTTTTGTTCACTCAAAATATATTATTCATTGGTTGATAGACTTTAGAACATAAATAACCAAAATAATAACATCCAAGGTAAACCTATCATGTATTAGAATTATAATAATAGGTCTATTTTTACTGAATTGGACACATACTATATTTAAGAAACTCACAATGTATATGAAAAATACTCAATTCATTATATTATTCAACTAGTAGTAAATTCCGTTTAATTCAAACACGCGGAATCATTTTGATGTATGACATCTTCGTTGAAATTAAAAGAGATAGCTTTAAAATCAACACATAATTGAACTTGTTTCGTAATGGTTTGATATTTAAAATTTATATCGTTTA